TGGGGGACAGAAACAAACTGGGGTGCAAGCACTGGGTGGAAGACGACAGATGCGGTTGCGGATTCAGCCTTCAGGCGGGGGATGCCGACGGAGACGGAGACGAGATGAGGTCCGCCGTGGCGTGGGGGCCGAACGCTCTGCTCTTCTCTGCAGGCCGCGGTGGTGCTGTGCTGGCGCGTGCGTTCCACCCACCTGGCACCGGCGGTCCACGAGGGAGGAGGCTCCCGTCCGCGGGCCCTGTTTAAAGATAGAGCGCGAGAGCGAGACCATCCTACATTCCTACTCCTAGACTCCTAGTTCCGCAGCGTCAACTCGCAGCTTCGTGCATCTACGCGTGACTCGCTCGTTTGGCTTTGCTGGCTGAACGTGTAGAGTCTTCCTTCACGGTGGAAGAAGCCGTTGAGCAAAGAACCCTGTTTCCATCCTATGCTCCTCCTCTTCAGAAAGAGGCACCAAAACTCCAAAAGCACCAAGTTTGGGATAGATAGATGGCGAGTGTACACGTACACCCAGGCTGCCAGGCACAGGCACGCATGATTGGGCGGTGGTGCCGTGCCGTGCGCTCGCTTTCTCACGAGGCCCTATAATCATGCGCGCACAGCCGCTGTCTCTCCGGTGGTTAGTCTAGCACTCTAGCCTAATCCTATTCCTCGGGGGGCTCCTTCAGCGGCGCGGCGGACGGCATCCTCCGCTCGCGGTTCGCGACGCGTGAGCGGTGTGCGGAATGCGGACGGGCGGAGGCACGGATGACGGATCCGCAGGCTGGATCCCTCTGCCCAGCATCTCTCCTCTTGTCCGTTGCCCCGCCGCGCGGTCCCCACATGTTCCCTGGCATCGCGACTCGCGTGGCTCCACCACGAGGGGGCCGATTATATTTGCGTATGGCTTACCAGCTGTCTTAAATACTGTTAACTGATTTGTTGTGAGAGAAAATTATTGTTCGCTGACCGAAAAATGTTTGCTGATCGAAAAAATACGGCTATTAAACCAAACGAACAAGACGATTAGCCGTCGGTGATGGAGTTGGGTTGGGGACTCAGGACGCGCCGAGCCCTTTAATCCGAGTTGTTTAGCCGGCCACGTCTCGCCGCCCTCGCCTGAACCTGCAGTACCTACCATCCCCTGCGGCCTGTGCCTGTGGAAGGCCCGTTCCGACATCCCTCGTCCTTTCCTTTGCTTTTCATATAATCCAACCTTAGAATTTGCTACCAACAGTATTTTGTTCCAAAAAAAGGAAGAAAAAACATCAGGGAGTATCGTTTTCTTATTATAATCCACTATTGTATCAGCTCAAGACAGAGTGATCATTACCATATCTACTAGAGGAAACGGAAACCCCTCGAGACAGCGATGGCCGGCCGCGCGGGTCGGCACCGAACAATTGACGCGACAGATAGAGGAAGCGGCGCAGAGACCCGGTGCGCGGTGCGCGCAGCGCTGGTGCACTGTAGCATACTAGCATGCATGTCGCGGCGAGCGCGAGCGGACGAAGAAAGCGAGGGCGGAGACGCGGTCGCGCGTGGCGGTGGCGCGCTGTATAATAACTGTAACCCGCGGGGATTACCTTTGTAAAGCACGAGGTGGCGCCGTGGTGCGGATGCCACCACGGAATGGAACGCGCCGGGCCGGGGGGCGGTGCTCTGCTCTGCTCGCGCGTCGCTCGATTCCAGATATTCCTGTCGCCGCGCCAACTTTCTTCTTTTTATCTCAAAAAAAAAAAACACCCTCTCGGGTCGGGTGGCTCTCGCCTCTCGTTGTGTGTCTGCGTGCCTGTCGACTGTCGTCTGTCTCTGGAAGACTTTTTGGAAAAGGAAATTTCCTGCCGGCAACAGGATCGGGAGAGCCGGAGGCGGCGTGAGTCTCCCTGGCACTGGGCCACCCTCCACCCTTATCCTTCTGCCATGCCTGGCCCACCTTTGTTTAGCCTTTACCTTGTGTACACAACGGACTGTCAGACCCTGGGCCCACACTGAAAAAAAGACAGTACCACTATCCACTGCCGAGTTTTTTTTATACAAGACTTCTAAACATTGTTTGTCATCGATGTGTTACTGTTACGACGATCGGGTAAAACTAACATCCTACCGCTATGATGCATGCCTGGCTCATCAAGTTATTAACCAAACGGACCCAGGGGTTTAGCTGCAACAGACAGACGCGTGTAAAAAACACCATCTCGCTGAATGCAGTGACGGATTACTTTATCAGATGATTCAGACCGAAGCAAAGCCCTGCCCATCGATGGCAGCTTTGCTGAGTGCCCTGCTGCTTAATCCCCGCCCTTTGGGTTTGTGGTCGTACTACCATAGCATGAACCGCCGCCCCATATCTTTGCTGTCCTTTCCCATCTGCCACAATCATCACCCTAATTCTCTCTGGGCTCGAATCCTTTTTCATTTGCATTTTCTAACTCACCGACCTTGGCTAGGGTCATCAAACATTCTGACCGTGGAGTAGTACTAGACAAATGCATTTCTTTTTGTCCTGCCTGTGATGTGAGCGTCGTTCTACTTCTACACGGTTTTGGTTTGGTTAGTTGGTTACGCACGGTACCAGCTCACGTGCATTGTCCATTGGGCTGGTAGTCCCAACCATTTCCCACTCGGCATTCTTGGGTTTCGGTACCGTGTGAAACGTCACTCGGTTACCGACTCCCCGCATAAACTATAGCACTAGCGCTGCTGCTACTACTTACGTGCCAAATCAGCTGAATGCCGATACGGCATGCCTTCGGAATTTGCTCCCGAGAATCGAGATTCATAGCAACACGGCATGATTATAGTATTATACCACATACGGAGTATATACCAATCAATCGTTTAGAAACTTCCTCATCACTTCAGTACTTCACCGAGATAATAATAATAATAATAATAACTGGACATGTAAGGAACATAATATTATGCTAAAAATGCTAGGATTGTCTATTTTATGATTGGTCCTATGGTTGCATAATATGATAATGATGGACTCATCAATCATCAATAATAAAAACAAACAAACAGCTTCTTCTAGCACATGGCTCTGTGCTAAATAAGCACTAGAATTCAAGTTCGGTCCTCGCACCACCAGTAGGCATCCCATGCAGCATGCATCCTGCTACTATTCTACTACAACCACGAAATCAAGGGAGGAAATTAGGAGGAATATTTGACTTGTGCACCTCCAATGCAATCAATCAATCATGCGCTAAACAGGAACGGACGGAAAATACTGCTACCAAATATGTTCCCTGTCCTGGCCTAGCTAGCGCGCGCTTTACAATCCTGATTAAGCTTCATGTTCCTTTTCCGCGTCCCTGCTAATGATTTCTTCCTATCCCATGGCTGGCCGGCGGCTGGTCAGTCGTGTCCCCGTCACGACAGCTCCCGGGCGTTGAAGAGAAGAGAAGAGACTCGACTCGACTCGCTCCAACAACGCCCATCGCGCTCGCCGGATTGATGGATACGAGACACGCGGTCATTTTCAGCGCATATTTTTCCTCCTAACAGCAAGCATCACGGTCACGGATTCGGGATATCATCCATCCAGTACCACTTTTAAGTAGTCCTTCGACATTATTTGCACTCTTCTCGCCATTTCTTCTGCTCATCATCCTTAAATACACCCTAGGAAAATGTACTTAATTAGCAAAGGGCAAATTAGGTGGAGCAAATTTGCGCTATTACCTCTCTTTTACTTGCGTATTTGATTTGATGAGAAACCATTGTGTTTTGACCTGCAAAGTTTCAAGTTTCGTGGATGGAGGGATAAATATGTCTCCCGTGATCTACATCTACGTGGTACAGAAATCTCCGGTGGCTGGACTCGGACATGTCTCCTGAATCTTAGGCCCCAATGTCTCTCTGAAACGAGGCTCCATCCATGAGTTGCTGAAATTAATCCCCACACTAAGCAAACCTCCATTGTTTTATCACGTCAACACGTCCTCATCACCAAATATGTGAATGTGATACGCGTTGATTTTTTTCCAACACTAGTTCGGTTCTGAATTTCTTGACGTGGGCAGCTGGCCTGTTTGAGTGAGTGGTCTGAAGAAGGCATATGGGGGAGAGAGAGAGGTGAGGAAAAGGAAAGCAAGGGGCCGGGCAGGGGCAGAGGCACAGGCAGCTCACCTGAGCTGGAGAGGAAAGGGGTCAAAGACTGGAACAGCCTAGGGGCATGTGTGTGTGTGGGTGGGGTGGGGTGGGGGGGGGGGCTCTTGCTTTCCTACTGGTACCCAGTGCCTGCACACATCATTTTGCAGATTCTTTTGCCCTCCCTTTTTTGATTAAGATGGATGACAGGATGACTGGATGAGCGAGCCATGTTTGCCTTCTTGGTTGCTCAAATCTTTGTTCATTACTGTACTTGATATGTTCATCAGGAACAGGCTAAATGCTGGATGAACAGCTAACATTTATCAAAATTTCATTATATTGGTATAAAAAACCCCTCAATTCTTGACAGAGAAAAACATAATAGCAGACCAGACAAAGATGATGAAAGCAAGAATTTCACTAGGACATACAAAGAACCAAAACAAGAAATAAATGAGTAGAAAAATGCCTAACACAAGGATCACATTTTACTACAGAGATGTGTCGTAAGCAGCCCAAAACCACTCCACAGACCACAGTAATACCAGTCCAAAGCAAAGCAAAGCACCCAGGTCAGTCACAGCAGTCTCACAGCTAAGCACTCCAAAACTGCTAAGCACACCACTCTCGCTACCCCTACTAGTCGTCACCACTCTCCTCTCACACAGCACAACCACCTGTGACTTTCCAGTCTGTACTCTCCCTCCGTCTCTACTGACCCATCCCCTGCCGTTTCCAAAAATTTGGCCTTTCTCTCGGCTCTCGCACATCTCACTACCGCCACCTCACCTCTCTCTCTCTCTCTCTCTCCCATCTCCAATGGCGGCCGCCACCCCCACCTCCCCTTCCTCCTCCTCCGCCTCCCGCAAGCCCTAACCCTAGGTAGGTAGGTCGCTCCATTTCCCCCCACCCCCCACTTCTATGGCTGCCCTCCTCGCGCTCGTTCTCCTGCTGCTTTCCGGGGGCGCCGCCGGCGACGACGTGGCGGCGCTGCTCGAGTTCAAGAAGGGCATCGCCGACCGCGACCGGGACCGGGACCGGGTGCTGGGGTCCTGGTCCCTGCCGGCAACGACCGAGTCCGGCAGCGGCGGCGGCGGCTGCCCCGCCTCGTGGCGCGGCGTCGTGTGCGACGGCGACGCGGTGGTCGGCGTCGCGCTCGACGGCCTCGGCCTCGCCGGGGAGCTCAAGCTGGGGACCCTCTCCGGCATGCGCGCGCTCCAGAACCTCTCCCTCGCCGGGAACGCCTTCTCTGGCCGCCTGCCCCCCGGCATCGGCTCCCTCTCGTCGCTGCGCCACCTCGACCTCTCCGGGAACCGCTTCTACGGGCCCATCCCGGGCCGCCTCGCCAACCTCTCCAGCCTCGTCCACCTCAACCTCTCCCACAACAACTTCACCTCCGGCTTCCCAACCGACGGGATCCAGCAGCTGCAGAACCTGCGCCGCATCGACGTCCGCAACAACAACTTCTGGGGCAATGCCACCGATCTGCTCGCCAAGCTCCGCAATGCCGAGCACATCGATCTCAGCGACAACCTCTTCACCGGGACCATCGATTTGGACATCGAAAGCCTCGCCAGCATTGGGAACACGGTCAAGTATCTCAACCTCAGCCACAACAAGCTGGACGGCGGCTTCTTCCGGAATGAGACGGTGGGGGCCTTCAAGAACTTGGCGGTCCTTGATTTGAGCAACAACGGGCTTGCTGGGACAGTGCCGAGGCTCGATGCGTGGTTCTCACTGGAGATTTTCAGTGTTGCCGGGAATGGGCTATTTGGGATGATGCCTGAGACACTCCTCCAGAATTCCATGCGGCTTGTCGAGGTTGATCTCAGCAGGAACGGCTTCTCAGGTATTCTTGTTGAATTTTGTGATCTATCACTATCAGAGTTGGAATCCCACTATAAGTTGAATGGTGATGATCTATTTAATATTTCTTGTGTTTTTTAATTCCATTGACAATGCGAATGGCCATGCTTCCACCGCTGTCATGCTTAGATTGCAAGCTGCAAATCATATTTTGGGCATTGGTAGACATGCATGCCTCTGATGGCGACGAATTCCTTATGATGGCATTTAAAAAATGATTGCTGCATCTTGAATCTGGAAGACTCCATTTGTTTGGAAGATTTGATAAGCATACACAACGACAGACTCGAATCCCACTATAAGTTGAATGGTGATGATCTATTTAATATTTCTTGTGTTTTTTAATTCCATTGACAATGCGAATGGCCATGCTTCCACCGCTGTCATGCTTAGATTGCAAGCTGCAAATCATATTTTGGGCATTGGTAGACATGCATGCCTCTGATGGCGACGAATTCCTTATGATGGCATTTAAAAAATGATTGCTGCATCTTGAATCTGGAAGACTCCATTTGTTTGGAAGATTTGATAAGCATACACAACGACAGACTCTTGCATGAATACAGCATGCATTTTGTGGTTTAGACGGTGTGCCATTTCTTTAGACGGATATCGACAGCAATCTTGTAATTGCATGCATGCTGGCTTACAGTTCATTTTGGACTATTTCCCCCCTTGTTTAAGCTGTGCGTATTGCGTTTACAGCATTTGTGATATTAGCAATAATTTGTTATGTAACTAAGCAAACTATTATGCATCAACCAACAATTTTCTGATAGCTGGCAATTGATATTTCCCCCCTATTATTAAACCAACTATCATGTTGATTCTTGGATTGTACAAATTTAGGCCTTTTTTCTGGATCTGTGCCCGCTAACATCACTTGTTTCACATAGGATTTCTTCAATCAAGAAATTGACATACTATTTCAGTGCTATGGAATGGGATTGACTATTGTGAATGTATATCTTGGTGTTTGAACATGTATGTTTTAGTAATATGACGGCTTACCATGTATCCTATCTTACCTACTGTCCTTCACAGAGACTCTTGTCATTGACGTTTGTCTTAAATTGTAAATGACACATGCATCCTCTAATTTTTCAGGGTCAGTGCCAATTGTGAATTCTACGACTTTGAAGGTGTTGAATCTCTCTTCCAATGTTCTATCAGGATCATTACCAGCCACCATGGGCAAATGTACCTCAGTTGATCTGAGCGGGAACCTGTTTTCTGGGGAATTAGCTATATTGCGTTCCTGGGATGGGATTGTTGAGGTCATTGACTTGAGCTCAAACAAACTGGTGGGAAGCTACCCAAATGATGCCTCCCAGTTTCAGAACTTAGTGTCCCTGAAACTACGGAACAATTCATTGTCAGGATCTCTCCCTTCAGTGTTGGGTACCTATCAGAAGTTATCTGTCCTTGATCTGAGTCAGAACACACTTGAGGGATCTGTGTTGCCTACTTTCTTCATGTCACCAACTTTGACTGTGTTGAATCTTTCTGGAAATAAATTTTCTGGAACTATTCCATTTCAGAGCACCCATTCAACGGAATCAATACTTCTTTCATCCCAACCGGCTCTCAGGATTGTTGATCTGTCCAGCAATTCTTTGACTGGACCATTGCCACCAGATATCTCTAACCTGCAAAAACTTGAGTTCCTTATTCTTATGATGAATGAATTGTCTGGGGAGATTCCCAGTGAGATAAGCAAGCTTCAAGCACTGGAGTATCTGGACTTATCACACAACCACCTCACAGGCAGAATTCCGGATATGCCTCAAAATGGCCTGAAGGTGTTCAACGTATCTTACAATAATCTACAAGGAACTGTTCCTAGAAGTGTTGAAAAGTTTCCTTTATCTTGCTTCCGACCTGGAAATGACATGTTAGTTTTCCCAGATGGCCTTCCTGCTTCTGGAAATGATGATTACACCGGAGTTGGTCAGAGCCAAACATCTCATGGACATAAGGCTGGTGTTCGAGTTGCTCTTATTATTGGCTGCATTGGAGCTGTCTTGCTAGTTATCTTCATAGCCCTAGCATTCTATGTGGTCAGATCTCAAGAGCTTTGCGGAAGTAATGGATTTAGAAGTCAGATTACTATCAGGGATCTAAAGGGGAGAATAAGCCGTCCAAATCTGTTCAAGTCCCCCAAAGATAATGTTATACCAAGTAAAACAAGTTTCTCAAATGATCATCTCTTAACGGCCGCAGCTAGATCGATGTCTGCCCAGAAAGAGTTATTGGCTGAAGCCTCTGTTGAATATGGCTACACTGATCCAAAGGAAGTTGCTGAGTCCACAAGTTTAGGTGTGACTGAGACTTCTTCTGCAATCCAGGCTCATGAGTCTTCTCCACGGTCTGCATTGCCAACATCACCACATTTTGCTGACTCTAGATTCCTTGAGGAACCTGTAGCTTTTGAAGTGTACTCTCCAGACCGGCTGGTTGGAGAATTGATTTTCATGGACAGCACTTTGGTTTTCACAGCTGAGGATCTGTCACGTGCACCAGCGGAAGTTCTTGGAAGGAGCAGCCATGGAACAACGTATAAAGCTGCTCTACAAAGTGGGCATGTCCTGACAGTGAAATGGCTGCGTGTTGGTCTTGTGAAGCATAAAAAGGAATTCACAAAGGAGATAAACAGGATTGGCACTATCAGGCATCCAAATATAGTTTCATGGAGAGCATTCTATTGGGGCCCTAAGGAGCAAGAGAGATTAATTATTTCTGACTACGTCAATGGTGATAGCTTGGCACTTTACCTTTATGGTAAGCATCTCAGGGCTCATGGTCATCTTCATTTTAATCATCTTATTATTTTGGCTTGTTACATTCCTCATTTAGTCTGGAGAGTCTTACATAATTCCGTGATGAAAAAATGTTCTCTGCTGTTACTGTCATACTGTGTATGAATCTAATAAGTTGCATAATTTTATAGAGGTTTCTAACCAGACTTAAGGTTTACTTCAAGTCACTGATTATAAAGTATTTGCTGACTGATGCAGAGTCAACTCCAAGAAGATACTGCCGCCTGTCAGTTTCTCAACGTCTCAGAATTGCCATCGACCTAGCTCGCTGCCTCCAGTTCCTACACCATGAGAAGGGCTTCCCTCACGGCAACTTGAAGCCAACTAATATATTCTTGACTGGTCCTGATCTCTCTCCAAAGCTGGTGGATTATGGCCTGCATAGGTTCATGACTCCAAGTGGCACTGCCGAGCAAATACTGAATTTAGGAGCACTAGGGTACCGAGCCCCGGAACTGGCAAACGCGGCCAAGCCTGCACCTACGTTCAAGTCCGACGTGTATGCATTCGGGGTGATTGTCATGGAGATGTTGACGCGGAAGAGTGCTGGAGACATCATCTCAGGCCAGTCCGGCGCGGTTGATCTAACTGACTGGGTTCAGATGTGCAACAGGGAAGGGCGGGGAACCGACTGCTTTGACCGAGACATCACCGGCTTGGAAGAGTCCCCAAGGATAATGGACGAGCTGCTGGCGATCTCGCTTAGGTGTATCCTTCCTGTAAATGAGAGGCCTAACATAAAGACAGTCTGCGATGACCTGTGTTCCATAACAGCGTGAGTTTTCCCTTTGGTTTCCCTTCCCAGTGTACATGTAACCGATCGATTTTCCGTCCGTTGGTCCCGATTTTTTCCGTGGGTTTTCCAGAGCCTTGTAGCCAGGGTTTGTTTGATTGGTAACTGCTAGTGTAAAGAAGATTCGATCCACCCATTGATTGATTGATATCAACCATTGCCGTCTTTCTTCATGAGTTGGAACACCGGTGTCTCTCTGTTCACTGGTCAAGTTCTTCACACTGAACATTTCCCAGTGAATTGTGTTGTGCCGCGTACTCTTGTCCCTCGCTTCTGCCTGATACTGTAGCTACACTACCAAACATGCTATCCTGCAGCTGATCTGCTGCCCATGTGAAATTACTGGCCTCACATGCGGTTCTGGAGCCGCTGCACCATGTGTTGGGGGGGTGGTGGGGTGGCAGCTGCAGCTGCAGCATGTGTTGGGTTTCCAGTGCCCCTAGTAGCAACCATCCTGGCACAAGGATTTATTGAACGAAACACATGATGGGTCGTTACTGAAACCGGTCCATGCTGCAGCCTTCAATTTTCGCTGTGGAAATAGGAGATTGGCAGGGGGCGCCACACCACACCATGTTCTCCCGGTCAGAAATTCTCCCATTCCACCTCTGAATCCGATCATCTTCATCTGAGCCGTCGACCGGCAGCTACCCGATGCCGGATGAACGGTCTCGATGACGCCAGTTGGCATTGGCCGCTGGACAGCGCACTGAGACTGGCCAGGTGGGCCCGCGGTGTTGCCATGGTGAGAGTGCTTTGGTTGCAGGCAGTCTTGCAGTTGCTGGAGCAGGAGCATGTTGTTCGCTTGAATTTATCAGCTCTAATCTACATTATTTTTCTCTCACAGCAAAACAGTTTCAACCGACTTATCAGTCGGATTATGTATCAGCCGAACAGGCCGACTCATGGGCAGCAATGATTCTGGTTAGTGAAAGACACTGTGGTGTCGGGTGTCTATATGGTCCTTGGCTGCACCAGTCATCGTATTGGCACTCTTGTCAGCGGACCATCAATTCGCAAATGCACTTGTCCTTGTCCATGATTACCGCTGATTCTGAGCATCTTTTGAATCTGCCGGATCAATGCGATGTGCAGCCTTTTGGACGCCTTCCAAGGGCAGCAACTTAAGTTGTACTAGTGGTGTATATTTTCTTAGGAGCCAAGCAAGTTGATCATGATTCAAGTATCCAAATCCAGCCATTTAGTTGTCACGGCACCCGTGTATGGCCAAATGCCATGGTTCAGGTCCCACTGACTGACTACATGGCTTTGGTTGGTAAAGCCTGTAGATGACGATGACAACTGCTGCATGCACTTCTGAATGAATTAGGCTGCAATGCAAAGCCTTAATGACACTGACAACACCTTCTCGCACATACGGAAAACAATGTTAAAGAGTCGCAAGAACTAGTAACAAGTAGCATGGCCATGGATGCTACTGCTGCATGATGGCAATTTGCTGCTCCACACGCCGCTGTGTTCGCGGAGCTCACCAAGCCGCGATCTCCCAGCGAAAGCGAAAGGGATTAAGCAAAACAGTGTACCATCCGTCAGGGCTCATACAGTCACCAACGAGCAGACCAACTGGTGCTGTACTACCACACACATAGTATCGGGTTCATTAGTAGCGGTGAGATATTAATTACACAGAAGCTGTAACGCAATGCAAAGCTGCGAGCGGAACTTTTGCAACAGGGAATGACAGCTTTCAATTCCAGCTATCTAGTTCTCCTGAAGCCACGAGAGCACGAAGCTGCGGCCCAAAAAGTCCACGCGGGCCTTGAGAAACCTTGAAGGCCCGTGATAAAGCCCACACATGCCCAAAAGGATTCGTTGGGACAGTCACAAACTTGCAATATGTCGCAAAGGTCGTTTCGCTTATCCGGTTAGACATCGAGACTATCCATGAGCACATCTTAGGCCCTGTTTGAAACAACTTAAATTGCCCACGCTTCGATTCGAATCTCGTTTCCTCCTACAGCTAGCTTTGATTAGAAGCAAAGGAATGTTCACAAAGAAAAAAAAGATTAGAAGAAAAGGAAGAAAAAGCTTGGAGTTTGGGAGTTTGCTTTGCTTCAAGGAGAACTCGGTAGTCGGTAGCCTGGCGCCAGCGGACCTCGGCTTGGAGAAGCTCAACGGCCTTGACCTCTCCCGGAGAGGCTCACTAGGGCCATCTCCGATATCCCCTCATCCGGTGACCTCGCTCAAGGAGGCACGCCAAGGGAACGGGGGGTGGGGAGGAGGAGCTTGACAATGCGGAGGAAAGTGGTGGCTTGGTGGCGCGGAGGAGGAGCGGTAGCAGGGGTGAAACTAGCATAAAATTTAAATGACGGCATGTTACTAATGGATCTCTATAGCTACACGTGCCCCCGCTGCTTGTGTACTGGGTCCGCGTGGCATGCGGAGGAGGAGCTTGTCGCGTGTAGAAGCTCAATCATCATGTCTCAGGGAGGCGCGCGAGAGGATATGGTTGTCTGCACTCGAGCAGGCGTGTCAAGGGGATGGTCACTGGCGCTAGGGGAGGAGCTCGACACACAGAAAAGGAGCATGGGGAGGAGGAGCCCGGCTGTGTGGAGGAGAGCCATGAGGAAGAAGCGGAGGGGCGATGGGAAAAAGCATCTTTCATGTTGTAGTCGAGAACACCCCTCGAACGGTTGTAACTAAGAACTCTATTGTTTTATGCTCACTGTGTTTCATGCACTCTATGATATATCTAAGCACGCTAGAGAATATAAGTACCTAATAGATTTGGTTCACTATTGGTAGCTCCAACTTGATATCAAATGGTCTAGATCTAGTTCGATTTACTAACATGGTAATATCTATCCTCTCGATGAATAGCTAGATGTATGGTAATGCTTTACAGATCCATGACAACCTATAAGGGCTTGTTTGGAACGGAGGAATTGAAAACACATGAAAAGAAAAAATATAGGAATAGGATGGAGATGAGATGATAAAACAGAGGATAGAAAAAACGCAGGAAACATATATAAGGTGACGTTTGGAACATAGGAACTAGAATTATAGCTAGGAATCTTTGGTGGGCAGCAAAGGGGGAAAAATAATAGCAGCATGTCACTTCACTTGCCGTAGCTGGAATGTGAGTCACTAACACCCTGACAAGCTGCTTTACCCTCCTTGCTGCATCGGACCACGCAAAGGAAGGGAAACCAAGAGATCCCAGTCTGAATAGATGTTTATTTCATGTGAAATGTGCATCTATCTACAGTAAAACAGAGGAAAGGAATTGATACTTTCCTGTGTTCCAAACGGTCCAGTTTAGTTTCTTTCCTTTGTTTTTAGATTCCTACGATTTTCCTTCAAAAATCCTTTGTTCCAAACAGCCCCTAACATAATCATTTTTAAGTAATTTAGTGTTTTGCCCTTAGCCACCATGTTTCCAGTTTCCACGAGGGAACGAGAACGTGGAACATAATGGAAACTTGGGATGCTATTTTATAACGTGGGAACGTAAATGTTTCCGTTATCGGAACGTGAAACATAGGAACGTGGAACATGGCCATGTTCCCATTCTTAGGATGCTAAGGTTTTGCACTGCTTTGAAGGCTCATTTTGATTTTATCCTTATTTTTCTAATTTGTAATTTTATCCTCGTTGTTTTTGAGCTTGCTAGCGCCCGGACGTTTGGATGGACGGACGCCACGCCCACGCCTGCATACCGTTTCCCGCGCCGTTTTGTGCGTCCATGCGGGGCCCACGCCGTTTCAAACGTCATCCTCGCGCATCGAGAAGAGGGAAAGGGGGCGGCGGATGCCCAGCCGGCGCCGGGAGGAGGAGGAGACACCGAGCGAGGCAGTAGAAAGCGAGGAGGAAAATGCAACACCCGATCTACTTTTGAAACATCCAGATGCAACACTTGCAACATATGTCTGAAGGCAGATGAAACACTTGAAACATGCATCTGAAACACTTGCAAAAACACCTAAAAACACTTAAAACCATTGTAAAACATACGTAACATCCAAATAAAACACTTGCAACATATATGTGAAACATGTGCAACATCCAAATAAACACACTTACAACGTACGCCTGGAAAAACAGATGAAACATTAGGAACAGAAGCTTGCAACATACATGTACAACAATTGGAACATATGAAACAGCCCGATCTATTTTGGCAACATCCGCATGAAACAATTGCAACGTATCTCTAAAATATCTGAAACACTTAAAACATATGCTTACAACATGAGTTTTCATCGCAACATCTCCTTGCTGAGGTTACGCGTCGCGGCGCGCAACGAGCTGGAGCGGGGGGCGCAGTGCGTAGCGAGCTGGAGCGGACACGGCGGGGATGGAGTGTGGCACGACGACGGGAGCCGCGTGGCGTGGGATGGGGTGCGCGGCAGGGAAGACGGTAGCAGCGAGCGCACAACGCAGTAGCACGCGGTGGGCGAGCACGGGAGGTGGAGATATTTTGAGAGAGAAGGACACGCAGAGAGGAGCAAGCCTGTTGGGTCAGTAGCGCGTAGGTCCAGAAAGCGACGTCCGGAGGGACGGACGCCCATCCCTGAGCATTATTGTTTTTTTAATTGGAAGCCATCTTTCACCCATGTTCACATTGTTAGCTGAATGCCAAGTAAACAAATTATTATAAAGAAAAAAAATTAAAAGGCAATACTAATCCTTATTAAGCATGTAAAATTTGTTAAAACTTTGCTTAGATTTGAAATATTTGCAAATCTTACTGTAAAATTCTTTCAAAATGCTGGCCTAATATTCGATATCCTAAACAGAGGTTAAAATCACTTGGTAGTAAAAACATAAAGGCAAATTAAAATGAGTGAATATATGAGAACGCAATCACCCACGGGCATCTCAAGTGTATTTGCAGCAGACCAAGGGTATGTCCCCGAACATGTTACTGACATCCTCATCAGCTTCTGGCTCCTCTGTCTCGTTCTGGTACGGCGCGTACGCCATCAGGCACCACCAGTTCTTCATGTCGACCGTGATGGT